GAGAGAGAGAGAGAGAGAGAGAGAGAGAGAGAGAGAGAGAGAGAGAGGGGAGATTGGAGCACAGCTGGGTCTGAGACAACATGAGGGGGTGGAGACTCATTTGTGTGTTTGCAGCATGTCAGAAAGACACAAAAAACAAAAAAAAATAGAGCAGCCGGAGCCCAAAAAAATGGAGCTGCACTTTAAAGCCTTTTGCCCATAAATCTGCTCTGTCACTTACTCGGCGCACACATACATCTGTGCATGCACATACATACACAACGCTGAGAGTCGGGCCCAGTGACCTGGTGAGGAGGTCTTTGCTGTGTTGCCTAGCAACCGGGCTGAGCCCTACAGTCGAGGCCACACACACTTGTTTTATCTGACTGACAGCAGGAACGGCAAATCAGAGCCCATCCAAAAAAAGATTGCTGCCATGAACCACCAGGATAACAGCAGGCCGTCGGTTTCACATCGACAGGAGGACTAACGGGAAACTCCTCCATCTTGGACGACTACCAGTCCACTCACCACAGACGGAGGCACTGATATTCAACATTCAGGCTTCAACATGCTTGCATAAACAGGGATGCGATGGCTACTGAACGGTGCACTAAAGCTACATTCATGTCATGTCATGCAACTGTAATTACAAGCAAGCCTTTTAAAGTGTTCACGTCACCTTCAGCGCTAACTGGAAATTATCAAGAAGACATGCCAACACTGTGAGATAAATGGCTGCCAAATCATCATTAAATACAAGTCGTCAGTAAACTGTCAGTTCAGTAGAACTTTAAACAAGCTCTACAAGTTCTAAGGAAGCTGCACATAAAGAGGGTAAACATTCCCTTTGAGCTTAGTGTCATTAAGTCTTGCAAACATCAGTCCAATATTCTCTCTAACCAATTCTTGAAACGCCTGTTTAGTTATCAAAACCCTTTTGAGACTGGTCAAAATTACCAACCAGCATCTGACTTTAAGTGAATTAAAAAATGTGCAACTGGCTTTCAGTTCAATGTTGAAGGACTCTGGAGTAGTGGTAGTTTGGCATGTTATTGATGGGAACACAACATTTCGATATACATGCTAATGTTTTATAGGGATGCTGCTTTCAGGGCTGCAAAAGTTCACAGATCGAGGTAACCTGTTTACATGCAGTTTGGAAGATCACCATCACTCCCACTGTGTAAGGCTGATGTATGCAGCCCCATAATAAACTAACCTAACACACACTCAGAAACAGTGGTCCGCATTAAAGCCCAATTTTAAAAAATGCTAACTTTGGGGTAAAAACAGCATAAATTATCGAAAAGTAAAAACTCCATCTTTACAAATCAACTGGGAATAGCCACAGACTCCTATCAGACAAATTGACAATTCTTCCAGGACAAAGGACAAATGTACATTTTTGTGAGCTTTTCATAGCCTTGGAGGTGAACACTCATCAAGCTGTGCAGAAGTAAAATAGTTGTCCGTGATTCTAAAAACTGTCATTGTTCAAAATCAGCATTTCTATTCACACCGAGATTGTGCTGTACTATCACAAAAAAGGTAGCTTGGTTGTGCCCATGTGGTTGGTCTGTATTCATTTTGCCAGCCTAAATAAAGCTAGCTTAGTATCATCCCACTGTGTCCTTTCAATCAGCGTGCTTTTGTTGTGGTGGTTGCAGCCTAAACAAAGGAATACATTTGGATCCATGTCTACATCTTCTGGTATCCAAGGGATGCATAATATCTGTCCCAATTTCTATCTCTTTAGTTTAAAACAAATG